AAGAGCAGATCATGGGCTATCTCCCTATGTATTTATCTCAGTTTCAATACTTCTGACCAAAAGTGCATTTTTTTGAGGGGGGGGGGGTCCTTAAGAAAAATATTGTTGATGCACATAGTTCTAATTGAAAAGTGATTAATGAATTGGAGAAGGTCTCTCGTCACCGTGCCAGACGATTAGACTCGTTTTATTTACTTATACTAGAAAGTGTTCAGAATGCCTAATTTTTTTTCCTGTTTCAAACTAGGATGTACTGCTTTGAATACTAGTCTACAACACTATACTTTGTTTCTAATTCATTGACAGTTTGTCGTAACAATTGATTTTCTTTTTCTTTTGTATGTATTTGATGTTTGTTTTCATCATTTCGAGTTTTTTCAGTCTAATTAAATAAAAATATATGATTGAAAATAATTTTTATTTAAATTTTACTTGTAATTTTTCTGTAAGACGATCATTTTCTTCTTTCGTACGATCATATAATACTGTTTTTGTTTCGATATCTTTTTCCATTAATTTTATTGATTCAATATACTCATTATTTTGAGATAATTGACTTTGATATATACTTTCAATTTTCTAATATTTTCATATGAAAAAAAAAAAAAAACAAATTTTTTTTTTTATAGCGAAAAAACAATTTTCTTTTTTCTATTTACTTGCTTTGATATACATTCATCGTCATATTTCTTTTTTAATTCAATATACATTAAATCAAATCCAGTTCGAGAGTTTTGATAAGTTTCTCGTTCAACTTCTATATCAGCCATTAAAGTCTAAATTAGGGAAAAAAAATATTCGTTTTATATTGACTATATGAAATCATCAAAAGTAACTAAGAGACACTTCATGAGAATATTGACAAACACAACCCAGTATACAAACTACTGGTCAAAAATTTTTTTTTTTTTTGTTTGCATTCGAAAGGCCAATGTCCTGCATGGATACGGTTTTTCCTACTCGGACCCAGATCGAAGCTAATCGATGTTCGGCCAATACTTTCACAGTCATAGTACAGTTTTCAAACTTCTAATTTATATGAAAAAATATACTCTTTAATTTTTTCCACAGGTAGCAACAAAAAGTCTCATATTGTCTGAAAGGTAAACTTACTTTTTTTTCAATATTTTATTTTCTTGATATAAGATCGCCAGTATTAAAAGTTTGATCTAGACTAACTTAACTATAAAATATCGAAATGAGCTTAAAATTTCAGGTTTAATAGTTTTCGATGACAATCTTTTTCCAGGTCAAGGATGTTTTGCTTTTCTTTCAATTAATATACTAATCTAAGAATTTGTTTTCGATAACATCGATATATTTAATGATCGATGGAATTTTTTGACTTACATCAATTTTACGTTGATAAGATGATTGTATTTGTTCTTTTTCTGATGTTATTTTGGTTAGTTCTTCTTCTAATTGTTCAATACGAGCTTTTTGTTGTGCTGTATTTTCTACTAAAGTTTTATTTGTTTGTTCAAGTGTTTGTACATTTTTTTGTAAATTTATTATTGTTTTCCTATTTTTTTTCTTTTTGTTATTTAAATGAAAAAGAAATATTTTTAATTACTTACTGTAAATTTCGATTAAGTTCTTCAATATAATTTTTTTGATCAAGTATACTCGAAAGACGTTGATTATATGAAGTATCTGGACTATTTTCATCTAATATTTCTGTACTGTTCGTATTCGTTGTAACAGCTGTATCATTATTTTGTAGATTTATTTTTGTTACAGGTGATAATGATGATGATGATGATGCTATTGAATAATCATCTAATTCATCAATTGAATCTTTTATTGCACCGGGTGGATGTGTATTTTTTAATGATATTGATGATAGACGTCTTTCACGTAAATATAAACTATAATGTATAATTGATTCAACAGGATGATCAAGTGTTGTTTCTCTTAAACATATATTAAAATCTAATACATTAAGACCAACAAGTAAACCAGGTATAATAATACTTTCATCAGATAATAATAATGCTTCATGATCATATAAATCTTTTAATTCATCTTTATGTTCAACAAGTATTTTAAAATAATCAGCTAAACGTTTTTGCATTAATGCAAGACGTAACCATGCCCGTACACGACCTAATGATGTACGAATATTAGTCATTTCTTTTGATGATATTGATATTTCTGATATATGTACATCTGTTGATTTACGTGATATAAAATCAATAATTGGCCATAGATCTTTACGATTTGATGATGTACTTATTGAAAATGATTTTTTACCATTATAACCATGTAAAAGAATATGTTCGAAAACAATAAAAAAATGTTTTAATGGAAAATATTCTTTTTCCATAAGACGTTCATGTTTTAAACTTGAATTTAATAAATCTTTAATAACTAATTTAAATACACATAATAAATTTTGTCTTTCAATTATTAAATTATCTGAATCTAAATTATTCATAATTAAAAATTAAAAAGAAAAAAATTAAATTTTTCTTTCTTACTTGGTTCATTCGAATTAAACAGGCTACTTAATGAACGTCCCTCACTTGTTAATGAAAATGGCATTTTTTTAAGACACAAGAAAAAAAAACTAGTAATAAGTCAACAAATGATGACAAGAATCACAAGTATGATCTGATCATGTTATACTTTTCTTTTTTTTTATTATTATCGTCAAGAACGAGATCTATTGGTTGTTAGACGCCATTTAACTATTTCTTATATGATACGTAGTTACATAAAAATTCTATTTCTAGAGACATCTATGGGAATTATAATTGACAGATAGTTTTTGGAAAAAATACATTTTTCGAAAACTTATCTTAACTGTCGGAAGAAAAACAAGAACAAGATAGCGTTAGAGAAGACTTAACAAGTTTGGAATAAGTCATAGTGACGTTATCAGACGAACGTTTGAGATTTAATCTGACACGTATCCACACAGTAAATTATGAAATGACTTTGGGGAAGTCAGTAATGGCTTATCGTCTCGAATCACCCGTCCCATAGCACGGACTAGTGAATCTGCCACTAGACGACAGCGCTTAATACTGCAACGTAGTCGAAAGACAGATATTTTTTTCTTCCTTTCTTTTATGAAAGGCCTTGAATCTTTATTGCAGACATGACCAGATGGTCTCTACTCTCTTCACAGATAAAGTTAGAAGACTCAGTCTCCTATCCCAAGACATTTTTAACACTCTGTCGAATCAAAATGTGTATACATCTGAAGAGAATATATTCTTAGTTGCATATGGTTTCAATAGTATAAGAAGCAACTTACAAAAATAAAGTGAAGTAATATTGATTACTTTTATTCTAAAGTTGAAATATGAATTCCGACGATAAACAATTCGAAATTTACACAGAGAAACACATTTAAATTGTTTGGTTGAGACAGTAAAAACACATAAAGAAATAATTATGATTAAATCTGCGAATATTACCAACGATGATCTTTTCTCTCAAATAGAATCTCTAACATCAATGGCAAGCATTTATCTATGTAACGCATCGAAAGAACTATTGCCTGTAAATTCAAAAAATAATAAAGGTCAAAGTGTATTCTTGAAAGATATTAGAAATCGCTAAGAACAACTTAATATCATGAATGTTAAAAGAAAAATCAACAAAAAATCTGTCTATAGAATATGGCAGTTTTATGTGCTATCAATGTATTATTCGTATTCTTCTACGTCTCCAAGACCATAATGAATATTGTAAAAACCGATCTTTTACAGATGTGTCGTAAAAACTATTACACGTGGTTCATTTAAACACCGCTTTTTGAATAAAACACTAGGAACAAAGAATATTGATACGTTACTTTCATTTCGATTGTATATTAAAGATCTACTTTTGCAGTTAAGACAGTTATACGACAGTTCCTTTTCATTAAAAGTGGTCATTTCTATCAACTACAAATGATAAAAAACGTGACTGTTATTTTCTCTGGTGAAGATATTTCTCTCACTCATCAGATTAACGATTTACAAACCGTCTTGTTTATAATAAATGTTAAGAAAAAACTTCAGCTATCTTTGCTAATATTCAAAAAACAAAAACAGTTAAATGTCCGATGAACAAGAAATTTTATTTGCATTAGACAGAATCTTTTCAGTTGATTCAGTTCAACACCAAACATCGAATAATTACTATTGGCATATCAAATTGACATTATTCAACGATAATAATACGAGGTATTCATGGACATAGCTCCAGCATTGATTTGCTGTCAAACAGCTTTGAAAATTTATCAGAGAATAATTCTTGAAAATCATCGCCTGTTAATTAAACCAGACTTTTATCTATCATTACTTTCTACGCATCATCATGACATCGACAATAACTATCAAAAAGCAATTGACATCATAGGGAAGCCAATGGCAAATGTTTTTCGTGCTGTCCAGTATCGAAGAGATAAAGATTTCATTGCAGCAATAAGACATTGTGAATATGCTCTATCAATTTTTCAATCATCGAAAATGTTAAATTGGCCGATCGCGGGAAGCTTGTGTTCTACGATAGCACGTTGATATTCTGATTAGAAACAGTATGATCGAACCTTCGATTATGCTCAACAAGTTTATGAAAGGTGTGTTGGTGCAATCGAACAATATGCTAATGTCAAAAACAACCTCGAAAAATGTCTCAAAATATCTAGATATGAAAATACAACGCAACTTCTGTTTTCTTGATGAAAACACTGATATTGACTTTGTAGATAACAAGAAAATGTTGACGAAGTAAGACTTATTCACAAAGGTAGAACAATTAGTCAAAGAAAAGTGCGTACAGCTTAGTGTAGTTCTCCATGATGTGATAAGCCTAAAATATTAAACTATAGGGCGTAGATATGAAGTAAATTTCAGTTTAATATATATACAAAACAGATGTATGTTAAAATTTTATCGATACATATTAAAGAAAGACATTTTAGGAATAATATTTTCACGCTATAAGAGATAACGTGAATCTATCGAATAAAAGTACAAACTAAGATAAAATCTGTCGCACGTGCCGTACTCTACGACACAATGAAGAATGACAATGAGTGAAATCATCCACACTATTCTGTGAGACTTGACAAGAAATTTGGAAAATGCATCAGCACTAGTTCTTCATTAAGATTTTAACTGGGATTTGTCTGCTACTGAATCATTGTTTCTTCAGGATTAAAATGCTATCGAATAATATTTGTACTATGTTTTTGTATTACGAAGTTACAATCCTATCATATTTATGTTGATGTATGCTAGAATAGAAGCACAATCGATTTATTTTTCTTTACCATCTTTAAGGAATATCTAGATTTTTAACTCAAATCCTGGCAGCTTTCTTTCGCTTGTGTTGACATATTATTTTAGTATTATAATTACAGTCATTCTGAAATACGATCTGAAAAGAAATATAAGATATTTATATTGCCTGGTAGAACTTTAGGTGCTACAATTTTCTGTTTTGTTTTTATGGTCAAAGATGAATACTTGGATGTCATCGATAACACAATATCGAGCAACAGGAAACTTGATTGAATCGTTCATTTCAGCACCAGGTCGAACACTGATCATGTATGTATTTGGTGGAATAGGACCAACCTTCGTAGTATATTGAAACAGCTTCTCTCGACTAGACATCACTATGTGAGTCGGCAGCATTTAAAGAAGATGACATATAGATTTTTCAAGAAATTGTATTTACCTAGTGATTCTTCACTATAAGACAAGTTAAGCGTATTTATAAAGCGAATCGTGACGGTTACTTGATCGTTGGCATGAGGCATTAAACAGCCCATGTAGGCAGATACATTACAACATGCGTTTCCATTTTTGATCAACACGGTGTAATTGTTGACAACTACCTGTTGATAAACCAGATTGGTAGTATTAGTGATAAAGTAACAGCTACCTTCGACAGGATCGGGTAGTGATATTGAACTATTATTAGTTTGATTGTTAACTTTTTTGTAGAATTGCCACCGTCCTTGATTTCTTATGTTGCCCCAACTTGAAACGTCATTTTTAGTTGAACACTAAAAATAAACAGAATATTTCGATTGAAAAGACATTCCTCAGGGCATACTTCTAGCTCAGCTCCACCATCTGTCACCAATTGCTTTGATTCTATCTCAGAGAATGAACCATTTGGAAAACGTGTATTTAAGATATTATTGGGTTTTCTCGTAGCCGGAACCATGATATCGCTGTCGTTCATATTACTACCGAGCATATCGGTATTAATCAGGATTAAATTCTGAACAAAGGCATTCATAAATTTCGTATTGGTCAACAGCGCTCCTTGAAAATTGACACCATCTAAGTCTGAATCGAGAAAAGTGGCATTATCAAGAGATGCATCGATGAACCGTGTTTGTCCAAGTGAACAACCAATGAAGTGACTTCTGTTGAATGTACCTTCATTGAACACTGAATTCATCAATCGACAGCTGTCGAACACAATATCGAAAGCAACAACACCTGGCAAGTACAGATTCGGAAGGACGCATCGATGATTCGACGAACGAGCGAAACGAACTGAAGTCAAATCAGCTCCATCTAAGTTGAGACGTTCTGCTTCGGGAACATCTGCTCGGATCAATTTATTTTCATATAAAAAGATAATTATTTCACTCTTATAATGGGCATCAAGATGGCGTAAAGCAGTGAGTGTCTTGGCACGAATGGTTAACAAATGTTCGCTGTTATTTCGACGGAATTCTGAACTAAGAAGACGATTAGATATAACATCAATATAATTATCGAAAATAAGTCGTTTATTGTGAGCATCGGCTACGAATCGATCTTGTTCACGAGTCTTTCGAAAAAAATCATTCTGCTGTAAAGTGAATACGACAGTAAACACTCCAAAGATGATCGTTGGGAGGATTGTTACTATAACTTTTGTCCAATAACTGAAGCGATCCATTTGAATGAGATGTTCCGATTGATCAAAGACTGATCCTATTGAATCACGTCTGACTTTTTCTAAACTCATTGGAAACTTGTATAATAATCGACTCCACATGAAATTTTCATACGCAGAAGAATAGCTTTACTATTTAGCAATTGAGACAGCTATCATGTTGATATATATATATATATATATTCATGTCGTTCCATTAACGTCAAAATTACATATGACACGAGGTTCAGATTGAGCAAACATGAATGTCAACATTTTCGATACCATGTAAATGCGATAAAATCTGACATTTATCGATTTTCTTTGTTATTTATGTATATACAGGTTATTCAGTTCATTTTGAAACATACTAGAGAGCTTATTATTGCAACAGATGTTCAATATCTGATTCATGAGCATAGTAAATTAGTCAACTACGTTTTAGCTTATTCTTCAAAGCATGATTGATTACATCCTGTTAGATAGTATTTTTCAAACCAGTGAATGTTGACACTTTGTACTTTCTCACCCGTTCTTTCTAAATACTTCATATTGAATAGTCTATCGGAGTAGCATTTGTACTCTAGGCACCTCCTCTTCCAATATTATGACTTGGATTATTTTCTTTCATATAAGCAAGTGTATCTCTTGCTGTGTGCCTCAGTGCATTATCTTGATGAAGAACTATTTCTTTTGTCTCATCATCAGGAAACAAACGTAGTATATCATGGTTGATTAATGGTTGCATCATTTGTGCAGTGTAGTATGTACTGGTAACTACTGCACACTCTTTTTCTGATAATTCATTGTTTCTAACACAATATATATCTCGAGCAAGTTGACTGGTATCAAGATAAAACCGTGTTTCATCAGTCGTTACATAGTTCTCGTATCTTTCATTGCATAATCCATGATACATACGTCAAGCTCGTGATCGTCTCTTTTCAATGATCGCCGGATATAAACAATGTGCGGATATTTTTTTATTTGATGATCTCTTCAATATTATGAGGTATTTTATTAGGAAGACATTCGTTTGTCTCAAATATAAATATCATGACAAGATATGAGGTGCTAGGAGTATAAACTGATATGAGAATCATGATATCAGTGTGAGTTATTTACGAAGAAAAACAAAACTTATGTCTCACACAGGTGCTGACGAGGATTTGCCGCGTCTTGTTTAAACGCCAAGATATTATGTCGTATCTCATTTTTCAAATTCTATACAAAGCCACTCTAATCAACCTAAAACTTTACTCCGCCGACTTTATAAAATTGTCTCTATTTGTTCCTAAAACATGAGAGGCTGGGATTTTTGTTTTTCTGTGCTAAGTCGTTCTCAGTGCCGTGAAAGTTCCAGCTCCCTTTACCATATCTGGAAATCGTAGCTAATGAAAGAATTATTCGTAATTTTCGGACAAAAAAAAGAACATTAGCTCGCAAATTGATGAAAAAATAATGTCAGAAAAAAAACGCTTAAATCCATTACCGTTGCTATCAAATGGAATGCTCATTTTGGGTGTGGGTATGAGCATTGATGTAGAGAAGATACCCACGCCAACATCACATCCACATCCTAAGTAGCTGATGCCATTTGAGCAGAAATAATTCGGATAAGCAAATGGAGAATGGCGTCATATTTTTACTTATGAGAAGGATGTGTGAGTGTGGCTATAGTGTATGCATGGGTCTGGCCGTATGCCTTCTTTGCATTCATACCCACGCCAATTCAAATACTAATTAAGGAAAACATTTGATCTCATAGTCAATAAAATGTAAGCTTGGAAAAAAAGCATTTTTTGTCTACCTTTTGATGTTTGCTCAACGACTATTTTCTCCTACTCCTACATTTCGAAATTTGTCCAACATGTGAAGTATGTTAACATCTACCACTTTCGAATGTTTTTTTAATTGAACTTCATTTTAATAAAATCAGTAGCGAGTAAGTAGTTGAGAAAAACTTTAGAAAAAAAAAGTCTACGATTAGTGAAAAATGAAAAGATTTTTCTGAGATAAAAGTCAAACGAAGGTTTGATATCAATTTGATAATGTTTTGATAGAATTTTTTATTGTTGACGACTATGCTGTTCGAAGAATCTCTCTTAAAATTAGAAGATTATATATTTTTTCAATCAGTGATCGAAATTCACGATGCATTGATACACCAGGCATAGGTGATATTTGAGATCTTGAATAAGATGCAAAAAACTTTCAGGAAATATTAGCTTATATTGCTCAGTATGAATATTTGAAGGGAGTGTTTATCTTACTTAAGTCAAACGATAAATACTTGGATATACTTTTTCGAGTCGATGCTAAGAAAAACATCATTTCTCTCTTCACGAATCCGCAAGCAACTTTCTTCAGGCCAGATATCACAAAAAGCCCTGCTTCAACAGCAATTAAACATATATCGAGAGAAACACAGTTTAGACGTTCCATTTTCACGGAAAAATACATTTATTATTGACAATAAACCATTTTGTTACTTAGCATTACGTAAAAATAGTACACAATCAGATAGTGAACAAAAAATAAACTACATTAAAAGTTGGGATCTTGCTGTGGTAAAATGTAAACGTCAACTTCATGGTATAAGTAAAAACGATTTCTTTAAATGAAGCTGAACAACTCATTTGAAAACTTAGCCGTGCAATTTTCAGCTTGCCGAAGAATGTAAAAAAAAGTGGTGCTGAATAATCCTCAAATTGCATCACGATAAATACTTCAAAATAATGTTACAATTGTACTATTGCAACATCCGCGATCAGTGTCTATTAATGAAAGGTGCTGTCGAATTTTTTAGGAGGAAAATTAAAAAAAAATTGAATATCAATCTGTATATGATGATGTATGTTATTTATAGGGTATCTTGCAAGCAACATTAAATGATTCGAAATTAAAAGAATGCGAAGTGATGGATCCTAGAAAAGGTAAAATGTTTGAGATCTCCTTCTGTTGATATTATAATATGAAATGTAAATTTTAAAATGTACGTCGAATAGAGAATACTTCCTATTTCCAAAAGTTACACATTCCTGCATCGCCTTCTGACACGCAATCCCTTATCATCAATTCCGGAAAAGCAAAAACGACCCTTTCCCTCAAAAACATGCAACAACCAGGAATTCCTGATTCCTAGTTCCCTTCACATCCCAAATATCAACATCCAATTCCTGGTCATTCCGGCTGATTCTGGAATTCGAAGGATAAACTGAATAACGAGATGATCATCTCAAAAGATCTATTCGATATCCACCCCGAATTCCGGAATTTCTGCATATGCGGAATCACTAGGACATGCAGGAATTCCGGGTCATTCCTGCCTATTCCGGAATTACAAATATGTCATGGATGGCTAAACGATCATTTCTCGAGCTTGAAGAAATGCAAAGCGGAATTCGGGAATTTGTGCACATCCGTCATCATTAGGGAATGCAGGAATACCGGGCCATTCCTGCCTATTCCGGAATTACAAATATGTCTTAGATGGCTAAATGATCATTTCTCGAGCTTGAAGAAATGCAAAGCGAAATTCCGGAATTTGTGCACATGCAGAGACACTAGGATATGCAGGAATTCCAGGTCATTCCTGCCTATTCCGGAATTACAAATATATCATGGATGGCTAAATGATCATTTCTCGAGCTTGAAGAAATGCAAAGCGGAATTCCGAAATTTGTGCACATGCAGAGACACTAAGATATGCAGTAGTTCCTGGTCATTTCATATCGATGGAATTCCGGAGTTTTAAAATGGAATGGAACCTTTACTTCTATCGCAATGTTCAGTGGAACATTAATACGTGAACCTATGCAGGAATGTGCAGGAATGTGAGGAATTCCTGGTCATTCCATATAGATGCAATTCCGGAATTCAAAGGGGAATTGCATCTTTATTTCTATCGCAATGTTAAGTNAGATTTCGGAAGAAGTCAAAAGTGTAGCCATTCAATAGTAAATGAAAGACTATTATCAATAGAGAAATTACACTTAAATATGGCAGCGGCTAGCCGTGTGCGATGTCCCGTAGGGGGTGCCGACGAACGGCTAGCCGCTGATTGAAATGCTTCAGGGAAAGGAGGCTCCTGGCAGATACAAAGTCCGTAGAATAATTAACAACCAGTGGATTTTAGGCTCACAAAGAATAAAAAAGTAGACAGGATCATACAACATTCTAAAACTAAATGTTTTCTGGTGTATTTCAAGAGGTTCAATATTTATGTTCTCGTATAAGGAAATCCGAAGAAATGTTAATGTTTTTATTTGTTGTCTAATGTTCCTTCTTACAATAAGCATAAAGGAAAACCACGTTACGTCTGCATATCAGTTATCCACAATCCAATCCTCACAATTATTAGCTTTTGAGATTCATCCACAAGACATCTGCTTTTCCTACACGAATGCGATTACAGTGAAAATCCGTTAAGTAACGCTTTTCACTGAACGTACGTTAAGAATGTTGTACATGTGAAGAAAAATTCTTTCGTACAATTAATTTGAATGAAAACTGCTTTTCGTTTTTTGCTGATTAAGGACACTATTTCAACCGGTTAAAATCCATTGGTTGTTAATTATTCTACGGACTTTGTATCTGCCAGAAGCCTCCTTTCCCTGAAGCATTTCAATCAGCGGCTAGCCGTTCGTCGGCACCCCCTACGGGACATCGCACACGGCTAGCCGCTGCCATATTTAAGTGTAATTTCTCTATTGATAATAGTCTTTCATTTACTATTGAATGGCTACACTTTTGACTTCTTCCGAAATCTTCTTCAATGTACTATAGAATAATTTTCTATGAATATATCCAACAAATGGTATTTTTGTTGTAAATCACTGTTCATAGTTGTAATTTCATGACCATTATGGGAAATAGACATTATATGAGAATTTCTCATTAACGGAATCATGCCAGAATTTTCTTGAAAAGCGCGATAGGCTTCTTACGAGCTTTCACTAAGAACATCATTGATGAACTTTTAGAATTATCTACTAATCGTTCGTAAAGACTCCTCTGAAGCACCATTCATGGCTAGCCGCTTCGATGTTTAAGTGCAACTTCTCATTCGAAAACCTCTTTGTAGAGCTCAGATGGATTTTCGAAGAAAAGTGAGAGATGAACTAAAGTCAGAATGTAGAGCCTTCTACTATTTTCTTTCTAATAGGCAGAATAATATAAAATTGAACCTGATGGATTATGTTCATCGTAACGATGGAGAGACGAAGCATCAGGCAATAGGTATATTTGTCGTAAAAATAGAAGAAATCTCAATAGAAATCTCCGAAAATAGCAGATTTAGTTGTGAACTATACTTCATATCCTTGTTTTCTTCTCGATCTTGCTATAAAAACTGCTTTAGATTGGAATTCTTCGTTAAGGGAACCTTGATGAAGTGTTCCCAAAAGACATATTAGATTTCATACCGATCTATTCTCAAGCATAGCTGCAACTGACCTCTGAAATTAGCGGCTAGTCGTGAGTGGCGCGCTGGTGGGACGCCATTCACGACTAGTGGCACCCATGTTCATGTCTACTTCCACATTAGTTCATTCTCTTGGATTCATAACCAAACTCATTAGTGTTTCCTTAACTCAAAACAATTACGGAATTCACAATAGAAGAACCACCTATAGNACTTCCTGAAAATTCTAAAAATTTCAGGAATTTTTTAAAACAAAAAATTTGCGCTCTAATAATAAAAGTACTCTTTCGTATACTAGTAACACAGCTTAATTCAAGAAAAGGGTTCTATCATGCCATGCATATTGGCACGCTCTTTCAAGCAAAAACTTTGTTAACTACAAGGAAGCTCCTTCGAGAATTCTTGAATGCTAAAAACAACTTAGCTTTTGAGTAGAGAATAACAGAGTTCATCAACAAGTTTTGGAAAACTTATGTTTTTGGCGAAAAACTTCCTGTTTTTTGAAGAAGACGTGAGGAGGGGCTCAAGAATAATATTGCTTTTCCTATCAAGAAAGTAGCTGACTGTAGATTTTTATATCAAGCATGATCAATTGTTTGCTTCATCCAAATTTTATGAAACATAATACGAAAGTTTTGAAATTAGTCTAGAATCGAGCCGAATTTTGCATGTTTCGTTTTTTTTTCGACAAATGACAATTAATTCGAACTGATTTTAAGATCTGTTTTCTCTATTAGACGAATTCTTCGAATAGATTTAGAAAAAAAATTTCAAAAAAATCGAACACAACTGATATGAAGAATCCTTTTGAGTTTCATAATGTAAAGCATTCAAGGAAGTCATACTTTCCTAGCTCGAAAAACTGCGAACTGAATCGAACCGAAATCGAAATCGATTTGAGAAGTCCCGAACTGAACCGATTCCATCTCTGACATATAGATCTGTGCAGCTTTATATGCACTTTCCCAATAATCTATATCAGCTTTAAAACAATTTACACTAGCACAGTCTAATGTGTGTGAAGAAGTAATAAATCTAGATGTTGCCATTGTTTATTTTCTTTACATCATATCCATTTTTTCAATTTTTGTTATATTTACTTTCTTTCCTATCTGTCGTCTGCGATTTCCCATTCTATCATGTGTATTTTTTCTTGCTATCTTATGATTCATTGTCTCTTTCTCAGATGTTTTTCTTTAACGTACTTGGATATTATCATATCTTAGGAATTTTTCATCAACATATAAATAGTTGCGGATTAATTACAATAAAGGTTAGTATATATATACATATATCGGGTACAATCATCATTAGAGGGAAATTTTTTCCATCCAGACTAATTTCATATGTGTGTATTTTAGTCAGTCAGTAAACTCATGTCACATTAAGTTTTATGGGTGCCATATAGCGACTGTATAGTGAACTATAAATACCCAAATCATTTTCATCTGATCAAAACACGTTATCAAACGAGTCGGCAAACATTTTGCTGATGACTCCGGCATTTTTAAATGGAAATTCTCAGTGGACTGATTTGTAGTATTATACCCAACTCTGTCCTTTTTAATAATCAGATTCTATTTTACGCTATAAGGAATATTTGGTGAGATCGTTTGCATGATTATAATCTGTTCGAAATTCCCATGAATCAAACGTGCATTAATAAATAATTTTTCCTTTAGATTTCATTAGATAGATAAAGAAAAATGTCGACCACAGCGAAATTTCCAACCGACACTTTGAATGATGCATCTAATAAATACAAATCAATAAATAATTCATCAAAAACATTCGATAAGAAAAAAGAAGATTCGCAATCTCTTACTACTATCATTAATCGAATTCAAACACTAGTTAAATCAATAAAGAGACCAGGCGTTCACACTGTCTCCTATATGTTTGCTGTTGGTTTTGAATATACAGGTAATGGAGATACAGCTCGCTGTAAAGACTGCGGACTTGAGGTATCCAATTGGACATTAGATATGAATCCATTTACTATTCATTCAAAACGTCAACCTGATTGCCCATTCGTACGCTCTTTACTACCAACTTCATCATCAGATGTGTCTGCGTCTTTTACATCGCCAACCATTCCTACTCAAAATGCATCTATATCAACTGCAGAAGAAAATACTTCTCAACGTCAAAAAATAGAACCGATGGATTTTCAATCTGTATCAAATACGTTAATTGAAACTAATTCACTTCAACAAGTGCGAAGACGTACATTTTCTCATTGGCCACATCGTACTGTTCCATCAAGTGCACAAATGATTGAAGCTGGTTTTTTCTATTGCAATGTTTGTGATCGAGTAATATGCATCTATTGTAATCTTGTTTCTCAACAATGGACACCATATACAGATGATCCATGTGAATTACATAGAACCCTATCACCTAATTGTATATATGTCAGAACAAGATTGATGCATCCCATAGCTTCATCAATAATTATTGTCAACGAAGATTCAACAACAACAACTACAGGAATTTCTTCATCAATATCAAATAATCTCAGTTCATTACAATCTAATGATATTGTGTCTAGAGCCTCGTATAATGGTGCTTATTCAGAAATACCAAAACGTCATGCATCATTTGCTACGTGGCCAAATGAAGATTTACCACTAGTGGATGATTTGGTTCGAGCAGGATTTTTCTATACAGGTACAAAAACCATTGTTACTTGTTTTTATTGTAATGGATCATTACAAAATTGGGGTTCAAATGATAATCCAATGATTGAACATGCTCGTTGGTTTCCATATTGTGCGTATGCTAAACAATTGTGTGGCAACGATTTATATCGTAAAATTCAAGAATCAAAGCGAGCACAACAAGGCACGTTTTCAAAAATTATAATTTTTTAGTTAAAATTGATTCATTTTTTCTTTGATAGAACGTGCTAGAGCTAACAAACTGAGAGAGAGACCAGACTCATCAAGTGATCTGACACATACTAATGTAACGGCAGATAGTGGACAATTATTAATACCTGATGAAAATACTTTATCCAGATTCGTTGCTGCACGATTAGACTTATCAATGTCACAACGTTTATTGGATCAATATTTTAAATTATCTATTATTAAACGATGTTGGGAAGATCAATTACGAATAAAACGTGCGTTAATCAATAAAATATTGTCTTACGTATTTCTTTTTTTTTGAATATTTTATTCAGATGATGACTTTGTATCGGACAGTGATTTGTATATTGCTTGTTTAATTCTTCGAAAACAAATCGAACATATTGATGGTAAAAAAGAAAATATTGTTATACCAAGTGTTAAAATGAAACAGATCCGAGAACAAAGTAGTGAGTTTGTTATAAATATATTTCTCATTTCTATATTCTTATTTTCTAGAAACAGAAATGCGTGAACAAATATCAACTATACATAGTGCAACTCAATTCATACAAAATCTTACAGATGTTAGAATGAATATATCATTGCAATCTTTAACAAATGAATCTACATCTTCTCAATCTTCTATTAACTCAGCATCAAAATCAACAAGCAGTGGTAATGAACGTGAAACACAAACAAATAAACAAATAACTACTGATAATGATCGAAGTCAATCAACTAATTCAGAATCATCGAATCTTTGTGTTCTATGCCTGACAGAAGAAAAACAATTAGCTTGTATACCATGTGGTCATATGGCAACATGTGTTGCATGTGGTCATTCACTGCGATTGTGTCCAATATGTCGACAAGAAATCCACGCATTTGTTAGAATTTACATTTAACAAAAAATTTTTTTTTCTTTTACCAAGTCATACTTAGTTAGTTACCGTCGATAAGTTTTGTAACTACGCACAATCATAAAATAACATTGATATGAAAAGCAGCTGTTTTTCAATATCATACAAAAAGCAAAATAAGAGTTTTTATTTTTAAAAGTGTTTTGTTTTTTTGGGGAAGTTTATTATTATTATGATTTTTGAATCATGCTTAAACAGGATATTGATATAATAAAAACAAGAGCAATTACTTCTGCATCATTGATATCGATGGCAAAAAATATACACTCTACTATCTAGTATTTGTGTATTTTTTATGTATATACTTTTATTCTAAATTTCGTCTCGTGTTGTATGTAAAAAGAATACATGGAACTCATTATTATTTATTTTTAAAGATTGAAAATTATCAACCAATAGTGTGCAACAAAAAAAGGAGATTCTAGTTATTTTTATTCTAAAACTTAATTGATTATAAATGGCTTGATATTTGTTTCTTGTACTTAGGAGCTGATCGAATTTCCTGTGTGAATAATGATCGATAGGATTCAACATAATAGAGTACTTTTTTCGCCTTCAACTATTATAAGCAGCGTTCAGTTCGGCTGAAATGTTCGATGTTGGTAAGTGTATGATGAGTCAAAGAAAATCAGGTCATATGTTTGCCTATTTCTTTGAAATGAGATTTATTTTAAAATATTTCAATGCTAGCATCAAATTTCTTTATACACATTTTCCAATATCGATCATCTGAAGTTATTTTTAGCTCGGTGTGTTTTGTTAAGATGAGAATTAAAAGCAGTAGTTACTTTAGTCAGAAAAATTAAGGTACAGGTAAAAAATTTGGAAACGAATTATTTTTGTCGTTTTTTCTTGAATCTGTACCCTGTCGAATGGTACTTTCACACTCTCAGTGAAATTTTCTAATTGAAGTCAGAGCGTCGCGCGGGAAACACGAGATAATATTTTCCAGTTTTACATATTCAGTAAATCGTGCACGTTATACGTTTCTCAGATGACTAGAGTTGTATGGATGGAAAATTTTCAGACCTAGACTCAGTCGGATCTGGATCCAGTATCAAGTTGACCAGCTCTACCTCAAAGCGTTAGCTATAATAAATTCATAAAAACAACCTCTCAAACCGATCACACAATGATTGGCGTTCATGAACGATAGATCATCGAGAGCTAGAGGATATTTTATTTGGTTCAACAATTTTTGCTCGACTAGATAAAATTCTTTCCAAGACATTTTGTGATATAATCGAGAAAATTGGCTTTATTAGTCTTTGTTTTCTAAAACCTGTCATCTAAACCTGTTAAGGAGAATTCGGCAAGTACTTAGGGATTGGCCAGGGTGGATGAGATATGGCGGTGCGTTAGATTGTATAGGATAACTGTTTTCTTATCGATCTTCTGTCTAGACTCTAAAAGTTTGATCACGAACTATTTTAGTGTCTTGGGTACACAAAACATGTTTCTTACAGACTTATTGACAGATCCTCAGCACGGGATTTGAATGATTTGATTTTATCGCGTACATGTAGACTATGTGGTGTGCGTGTCGATGTGGGTGCGAGTGCCATTGGCTATCAAAAAAAGAGACACGCTAAACCGCACCTACACCTGAAATCTTCGTCGTCTTTTGACGTTACTTTTTGGTATAGAAAGGTCTGAAATCATACGCTTGTTAGAATCATTCTGTCGACACATGATGCTGGGACATTGTAAAAAAATGTGGGTGTGGGTGTGGGTGTGAGTTGGATGGATTACGAATTTACCAACATCCACCCACACGTATACCGACATCCACACCCACACACACACTCATACCCACACCCACACTCATACCCACACCCACATCCACACACACCTACACTCACCCACGCTCACCCACACACACACTCACACGCACCCTTTTCGACATTGAAAAAATGCTATAGTTTTGTGTTCCAGTTAGGAGTGGCAGCCTTTAAAGAGTGTTTATGAACTTTGTTAGAGAAAAAGAACTTTATACTTCCCTCTTCCAAATGAGAAAAAAATTAGATGAAGCTTGTTTAATAATGGAGATATACATATTTCTTAAGTGGACACGACTTCTGGGACAACCTGTATACTGAAAAACTGAGTAGTTTGTATCCCTGTGGTAAAAAATCGGTAAAAATTCTAAAAATGTGTTTTTCAACATTAATTTCACACACTTGCAGCTTGAGAATGCCTGAGTTCTTGAGGTTCTGAAGCTTTAGGAGGATTCTTGGGTTCCTTGAGTTTTGCTCAGCGGTGATTGATAATCGCTTATTTTTTATTAATTTGTGTAATCTTAAATTCATAAGAATTCAGAGTTCACGAAATACGAACGCGTCCAAAAGTGGTGATTTTGTATGTAGCACTGTAGGTAGGAAAAAGAACAAACGGTTGAACAGTAAAGTAACACACTGAAAAAAACATGGTACAATTCAGACTTTAGCAAGAATTGCAAGAATTGTAACCAACCCGAAACGCTTTTATAGGTTTCGTACATGGGTATGAAAGTGGTTTTCTTCAGTTCAGTCTAGTGAACTACCGTCATAAACTGTCAATATTTTAAAAGTATGTGTTTTCATCCAATCCTCTGATATCATAGAAAGAAAGAAATATTCTGAGAAGCAGGAGAATGCAACTTAATATTCAGTTCTTGAACAGAAACGATAGTATTTTTACAGAAGACCAAAACAAAATATCAATATTTACTTCTAAAAACGATTTATAATGTGGTAGAATGTTCCCTAGCTCTTATTAAAACCTTAACAAACTTGTAACGAAAAGGGATTCGAGTTTACTTCTACTTATTGGATATCATGCCATGGTGTGAAGAATTTCTTGATGAAAAGACATTAAAATAAATATCAAATTGAGTGTAATGAGCCTTGCAAACCTACTTTCTATAGTGATATCAAGCACCCATGATCTTTGTCATTGCAAGTTTCCATCATGATGATATAAATATGCATGAGAGCAAATGAACAAATTTTCGTCATTCTGTTCTTTTTTTTATTCAATTATCTTTCTGTATTTATGCTCTTTTCATTTTTCTATAGATACATCCGCACTCTACAAGGGAAAATTGTCGCAACCGAAATCGACGATTACAGCTGAATATTCTATAGTTTTAAGCACGTGACATTATCAATCAGATCCATCAGAACATGATTTGAAAGAGATAACTCAACAAAGGAGAAAATCGTCGACTAAATAATAGACCAGGATTGGAACCACGAGAAAAGCTGCTAGTGCCATGCTTGTGACATTAAAATATGAAACACGATATAGTAATTGTTGCTAATCACAGAATGATTGTTTCGTTTCATGTGTTTTGAGTCGACTTTCTTCGCCCTTCTTTTACTTTAGCATTCCAGAAATACAATAAGAAAGTAGTCAATACATTGTAACGAGTCGTTATGGACAGACAGCCTGTGATGGTGCCTGAAAAGTGTCTGCCAAGGTCGGTGGGAGTGAGTCTTCACTCCTTTTATACCCATACCCTTCTATCAAACTCTAGTTTAGAATAGAAAAATTGAATTAATATAAAATTGTTCGTTCAATTTATTATTCTTCGATAAGTATTTAAAAAGAAATCAAACTAAGCGCGAAGAAAATAACGTCAATACACATGAATAACGGACGGTGACATTTTCATATGTCTGATCTATTCATTTTCTTCGACATTATATTTGTTCGAAACACCAGTTGATAATCGTCTTCTTTTAATTGGACCACCAGTAAAATCACCTAAAAGAGCTTGTCCAAATCCCATGAGATTAATTGGTGTATTACCATCAGTAACTAACATTGATTGAAGACCAAGTGCTTGTAAAAGTTTAACTTGTGTATCTGCATCAGAAGTAGCAATAGCTTGTATTGTTGATGCGCCAATTGATTCAACTTGTAATTTAAATTTTTCTGTTTCAATTCTTGATATTTCAGCTTTTTTACTAATTTCTAATTCATTTTGTTCACGTGAAAATTTAATTTCAGCTTCCCGTGCTAATTTTAAACGTGTTAATTCAGATTCAGATGCAATTTGTGCTGCTTTAGCTTTGAGAGCAGCTATAAAAAAGAAAGAAAAAAGAATCATTATTTAAATATTTAATATATGTATTATAATGTTTTTCTTTGTACCTTGTTCAACACCTGCTTCTCCCTCAATTCGAGCAGATTCAGCACGACTTTGTGCTTCAGCTTTGGCTTGACCTGTTATTTCAACAACAGCTGATTCAGCTTGTAACAGAAGAAGTTGTTTTCGAACTTCTTCAGCTTCAGCTTCATCTTTAATACGTTGACGTTCTAATAAACCTTTAGCTTCTTGTTCACGACGTGAAGCTTCATGTTTAGCTGCAGCTTCTTGTGAATTTGTTGTTATCTAAAGAATTTATTATACATATTTATCATCTAATAAATCAATTCATTTATTCATACTTCAATAGCTAATTGAACACTCTTTTGAAGTGCATCACGTGTTCGTTGATCAACTGGCTCAACACTTTGAATATCAATTGATGTAATAGCAAGATTATTTTGTGAAAAAACAAATAGATCTCGTATACGTTGATTAGCATCGAGACCAAATACTGATGCACGAATAATTTGTGCTGAATTCTTATGAAAATCATCAAATTGAGTTCCAGCAACAGCACCACGAATACGTGATGCGATAGCTTTAGCTGCATCTCCAACAAAATCAGGAACTGAAAAAAGTTTTGCAGCTTCTTTTTCATTCCGCATATCATCGATTTCGAAATGCCAATCTAAAGTAAAATGAAAAATTTTAAATAAAAATTATAATTCATGAATTTACTATATGAAAGTTGAAGTGATAGACGGGCATGATCAGCTGTTTCAATAACGATAACATCAGTAAAAAAATCAGGACCAAGAAGTAAACAAAGTGTTCGAATTTGATTAGGTTTTTTTGGTTTACTACCACTTAATGAAAGCAATGTAAATTGTTCATCTGGTCCAAGCATAAC